TATATATATATATATATATATTAATGTTTACTTCCCAAGGGTTGGCGTGAGGATTAAAAGGGAGAATACACATAAAGAATCTTGCACATTTCCTGACATATAGCTTCTTTGTAAGATAGTAGCTATTATGATTAAGTAGACAACCCACAATTATTCAAAATCTTCAGTTGCCATGGGGCGCCTGGGTGGCGCAGTCGGTTAAGCGTCCGACTTCAGCCAGGTCACGATCTCGCGGTCCGTGAGTTCGAGCCCCGCGTCAGGCTCTGGCCTGATGGCTCAGAGCCTGGAGCCTGTTTCCGATTCTGTGTCTCCCTCTGTCTCTGACCCTCCCCCGTTCATGCTCTGTCTCGCTCTGTCCCAAAAATAAATAAACGTTGAAAAAAAAAAAAATTAAAAAAAAAAAAAATCTTCAGTTGCCAGGCCTGGAAAAGTCATTTTGTGATTATTTCTTGCATAAGAAAAATGATTTCCCCAGTCCCACTAATTATGTTTAAAGAGTCCTTAGATGGTTTGTTTAAGGAAGCAGTGTGTAGCTACATCAGGGGTGATGATGATTCCTCCCAAACATTTTTTAAAAATTTATTTGAGAGAGAGAGAGAGAGAGAGAGAGAGAGAGGAGGAGGAGGGAAAGAGAGAGACAGAAAGAGAGAGAATCTGAAGCAGGCTCTGTACTCAGCATGGAGCTCAACTTGGGGCTTGATCTCATGACCCTGGGATCATGATCTGAGCCAAAATCAAGAGTCCAATGCTCAACCAACTGAGCCACCCAGGCACCCCAGCTCTTCCCAAACCATTTAAAATCTTGGCACCTCCTTGAACTGTGAGTCCATAAAGATTTACAGAGACTGTTTCTGGTTCCTTCCGACTCATGAGAGTGGGAGTTTTAGAAAGTAATGATAGATTTCTTCACATTTATGAAGCAGGCAAGTTCAAATCAATCCAAGAGGTATGAATGATACACATCCAGAATACTGTACAAGTGAAAAAACAAAGAAAATGGGGAAATAGAAGATACGTGGCCCATGGTAGATGGAATGAACCCCAGGGGTCAGATGAGATGTTATGGTTTGGTATTTCTCTTACATGTGGTTTTGATGTCTGGAGCTGAAGGTAAAATAATGAGAGATAAATCTAGAAGGGGGACAAAAGTCAGGCTAGAATAGGAAATTCCACACTCATTTGATGATCCAGGATGCTAAATAGCTACATTCAAAGTCTGGAGCCAAACAGGGCCAAACTTGGGGGAGCTGATTAACTAGAAGTATGGAAAGAAAACAATAGGTATTGGCCCAAGGTACAGTGTGTCTGTGATTTTTGGGTAATTTTTACTTTTGATATAATTTCAAATCTACAGAAAAGGTGCAAGAATAATTAAAGGAATTCCTGTATACCCTATCCAGATTAAGCAAGTGTTTACATTTTGCCTAATTGTTTTTCATTCTCTACTTATAAATTTATGTATTATTTTTTCTGAATCATTTGAGAGTAAGGTGTAGACATCTGCCCTTCTGCTTGTAAATATATCAGTGTGTATTTCCTTAAAAAAGGCATTCTTGTACATAACTATGGTATAATTATTAAAATTAGAAAATTGAATATTGATACAATAATGTTATGTAACTAGTATCCATATTTTAATTTTATCAATGGTCATAAATACATTATAGCTAATTTTTCCCAGACCAGTTTCCAATCCAGGTTCACATATTGTGGTTAGTCGTCATGCCTCTTTAGTTGCCTTTTATCTGGAACAGTTTCTCAGCCTTTCTCTGTTTTTGTCTACACCTTGATATTTTTTATTCTATTTTTATTAAATTTTTTTTAATGTTTATTTTTGACAGAGAGAGAGAGAGAGACAAAGCATTAGTGGGGGAGGGGCCAAGAGCGAGGGAGACACAGAATCTGAAGCAGGCTCCAGGCTCTGAGCTGTCAGCACAGAGCCCAATGTGGGGCTCGAACTCACAGATCGTGAGATCATGACCTGGGCCAAAGTCAGATGCTCAACCGACTGAGCAACCCAGGCTCCTGATATTTTTTATTTAAAAAAAAAAAATATATATATATATATATTTATTATTTATTTCATTTTATTTATTTTTGAGAGAGAGCACACAAGTGACTGAAGGGGAGAGAGAAAGGGAGACAGAGAGAATCCCACGAGGTTCAGAGACAGAGGGAGAGAGAGAGAGTACAGAGCCCATAATGGGGCTCAAGCTCACCCATTGCAGGGCTCAACCTCTTAAACTGTGAGATGATGACCTGAGCCAAAGTTGGATGCTTACCCTACTGAGCCACCCAGGTGCCCCTTCACCTTGATATTTTTGAAGACTTCAGGTCAGTTATTTGATAGGTGGTCCCTCAATTTGGGTTTATCCCGTGTTCCTCATGGTTTGATTTAGGTTATGCATCTTCAACCAGAAGACTACAGAAGTGATGCATTGTCCTTTTCAAAGTGCTTTTTATTAGGAGGCACACAATATCAGTTGTCCCATTATTGGTGATGTTAATTTTGATTACTTAGTTTAGGTGGTTTCAAAATCTACTAGATTTCTCCACTATAGAGTTACTGGGTTTTTTCCCCACTGTAATTCATACATAATCTGTAAACAGATACTTTAAGTTTGTGTAAATATCTTGTTTTTCTTCAAACTTTTGCCCACTAGTTTCCTATGTTCTTTTTATGTTTATTGGTTGGTATTGTATTGTAAGAAAGAGCCTTACCTTCTCTACCATTTATTTATTTATTCATATATTTATATCAGTGTGCATGTATGGGTTTTAATTGTATTCCTTTCTATGTATCCTTTATCTAAAACCATGAGTTCATATTTATACTTCTAATTATTATTGAATGCCACAGAGTTTATTTTGTCCTTTCCCCTTTCCATATTGTAACTCTGTTCTTTAATAATGAGAAAACTGGTTCCTATTATTCTCATGACGTCTTTTTATGTGTGCCCTTACTGACTTGTGTGGCCATGTCAGGTACAGATAGCAACTCAGTTCTAGGGAGAAGGCCACAGTTTTCCAGAATTTACCATGTGAGAGGCCCTAATTCCTTTCTAGTGCTTCTATGGGGCAGGAGGCATATCTGACTGTGCTATCACTATGCATCCAACACTGCCTTGACTACTTATGTGCCTTCATGGTCTTAAAATTTTGGGACTGGGTACCAGGAACCAGACTTGAAAGCAGATCTTGGGGAGCCAGCTATAGAAAAGAGTCGTGTACAATGAGACAGATGTTCTTGAAAGACAAACAGCTGGAGTCAGAAGGCCAAAGGACTGATGACTTTCAACACCTTTTAGGGCCCTGATTTCTGCAGAAGTATATGTAGAAAAATCAGGCCATGTCTCCCAGGCTCATGTTCTTCCCCATTGGCATATTCTCTGTACCATCTAATACCCTGGCTACTTAGTAATCTCTCTCTGTCTCTCTCTAAAAAATGAATAAATAAAACTTAAAAAAAGTTTAAAAACATTTCTTTTTTCTCTAGAAATTTCCTTTGTGTTCTTCAGTAAATTTGTGCCACCCCCCCCCCCAAAGAGGGACCCAGTGTTCCAGGTATTTTTCCTATCTTACATTAATTTTGCTTATTCTGTAACCTCATAGAAGTAGTATCATACAACATACCAACTGATATTAATCAGCGTTATTGTGTGTGTATAAATAGCTTGTTCCTCTCATTGATGAGTAGTATTCAATTGTATGATTATAGCACAATTTAATTATGCATTTTCCTATTGGTGGGCATTTTGGCAGATTCCAATTCTGACTATTGTGAATGTAGCTGCTATAAATATGCTTTACACACATCTCTCTTTTCTTTTACAAGTCTTTTTATGGACACATTTTAATTTCTCTTGGTTAAACACCTAGGAGTGGAATTTCTATGTTAACGTATAGTGTACAGTTAAGTTTATAAGACACTATCAAACCTTTTCCCATTTTGATTTCCTGCATGCAAGTTGTAAGAGTTCCCTTTGCTCTACATCATCAGCAATATTTGTTACTGTCAGTCTTCATAGTTTTAGCCATTCTACTGGATTTATAGGGGTATCTCAATGTTGTTTTTTAAATTTTATTTTATTAAGTAATCTCTATGCGGAAGGTAGGGCTATAAGCTCATGACCCTGAGATCAAGAGTCAACATGTTCTACCAACTGAGCCAGTCAGGTGTCCCCTCATTGTTTTGTTTTTTAATATTTATTTTTAATTATGATAAAAACATAACACAGTGTACCATTTCTAAGTATATAGTTCAGTAGTGTTAAGTATGTTTACGTTACTTTGCAACAGATTATCACAACTTTTTCACCTCACAAATCTGAAACTCTGTATCCATTAAACAACTCCCCTTACCCACTCCCTCCTTGTAACTCCTTTTAACCACTATTCTATTTTCTGTCTCTGTGAATTTAGCTATCTCATGTAAGTGGAATCATACAGCCTTTGTCTTTTTGTGGCCAGCTCATTTCACATAGTATCATTGTGTTTTTAAAATATATTTTTTATTCAGGTTTAATTAGATGTTCTACTCAATGAATTTTGACAGTTGCATATATCTGTGCAACCACTCCCCAAAACAAAATGTAGAGTGTCCATCATCCTAGAAAGTTTCCTT